AGAAGGGGGCAATTCCCCCCGTGTTCCTCCCAGCCAGTGTCTGGGGAAGGCCCTGACAGGGTGCCTCAGGCACTGCGAGGGTGCACGTTTTGCCGTGCCTCAGGGTTTCCTGCAGCTCCGCTGGTCTCGCTTCGCCCGGGTGCTCTTCACCCGCTCCTTTGCCATCCTACCCACCGTTTTCGTGGCCGCTTTCAAGGATGTCAGCCACCTCACGGGCATGAATGACCTGCTCAACGTCCTGCAGAGCATCCTGGTAAGGGGGTGGGAAGGCATCACCTGCCCCAACACCCCAGCCTGATGGCCATACCTCCTTCATCCCCCTCTCCTTCCAGCTGCCCTTCGCTGTCCTGCCTGTCCTCACCTTCACCAGCCTGCACCCGCTCATGCAGGACTTCACCAACAGCCTGTGAGTGCCAGGGCAAGGGGAGGCACAGAGGGGGGCAGAGTGGGGCACTCCTGCTGCAGGCCTGTCCCTTTGGCCCATCCTAGCCCCTTCAACCGTGCCACAGGGGCAATTAGTGTATGGACGTTGGAGGGGTGTGTTCATTCCCACCTGCCCAGGGCAGACAGAGTGGGACAGACTCCATCATCACCCTCTCCATCCTTCTCTCAATGCCACATCTGGCTCCTTGGCCACCCCTGGGTCCTCAGCATCTTCCTGGCACTGCCAGCCCTGGATTTGGAGGATGGCCAAAGCCCACACTGAGAACCCTGGGGTGGGAGTGAAATATAGCTGTACAGTGCAGAGATGTCCCAGTTGGGGTCCTGCTCACCTACAAACCCAGTTTCCACAGCCGACTGTGCACAGTGGCACAGGGGGTGGGGGCCCTGCCCTGGTGCTGATGCCCACTGCTCTGCCCTCAGCCCAGGGAAGGTGCTGATGACCCTCATCACGGGGCTGGTCTGTGCCATCAACATCTACTTTGTGGTGGACTTTCTGCCGACACTGCAGGGCCTGGAGTACCACATCCCCCTGGGCCTGCTGCTGGCTGCCTACGTGGCTTTCGTCGCCTACTTGGTAGGGCTGGCACCCGGGATGGGTGGGGACAGTGTCCCTGGCGGGTGCCCATTGATCTGCCCTCTTTGCCCCTGCAGATCTGGACATGTAGCATCGCACATGGAGCCCGGTTCCTGGCCCGGGGCCACCACAGCCGCTTCAATTTCGGTGTCACCCTCGACCTGTCACCCCTGACAGGGACCCGGTGACCGAGCCCGTCCGTGCTCACTGTCACCCCGTACCTGCCTCCTCGCACCGGCACTGATTTGCTGACACTCCAAGGCCGGGGATGATGTTCTGGCCAGAGATGCACCCAGCAACAAAGGGGTTAACACCCGGACAGACCTCCCCTCAAGTTTTCAGAGCCCAGCCCCCTCTTCCCCCAATTCAGGGGTGCTGGTCCAGGCTGGATGCGAGCGGGGGCGGGGGGAATAGCAGCGGGAGGTGCCCCCATCCCTTGGCACAGACGCTTCCGTGAATGAGCCGCGTCGGAGACCTCCCTTGCTCGTTAATGCCGGGAACCGTCGGCCCCCGAGACCGCTAATTACCGCCGGGGACCGCTAATCACCGCTGGGGACCGCTAATCACCGCCTGGGACCGATAACCACCCCCACCAACGGCGGGGCGAGCCCAGGGACCGGCTCCAGCCCCGCGGGGGGCTCCGAAACTCGGGGACAGGGGGGCGGCTGATAAATGGCGTGTTTGTAGTCCGGCTTCGGTCTCGCTGCTGCTGCGCGGCCCCGGGGCGGGCTGGGGACCCTTTCGCCCCCCCTGTATCCCGAGGACGGCCCCTCTGCCCCGGGCGAGGTCGCCTACGCGTGGCCGTAGGGGCGGAGGGGGGCTCAGCGCCAGCCCTTTGCATTCCCCCGGGGGGGGAGCGGAGCGGTGGGGGGGGTCCCACCGCGCCCTCCCCGCCCCGGATGCCCCGTTTCCCGCCTGCCGATACCGCCGGATGCGGATGCGGGGCCGCCTGGGCCCTCCCCGGGGGTGGCCGTCGCCCCCTGCCCCGGTCCCTCACGGCGGGGGGTCCCACCGCGCTTCGCCCCCCGCCGCGGCCCGCACTTGTGAGACGCTCCCTGGCTGTTTCAAGGCTCCCCCTTCTCCCGAGCACCCCCACACACCCCAAAAATCCCGCTTCTCGATCCACGCCGGCCGGGAGGTGGAGAGGGGATTTGGGGGGCCGAACATTCCCCCCCGCCCCGATGCCCCCCACTCCGGGAAGGGACCCCCCCCCACCTCCGCTCCCGGGGGCCGCGCTTGTTTATGTGAAGAATTTCCCCTTCCTTAAAAGGGCGATGGCAGCCGGGGTGGGGCGGTGACCCCTCGCCGCCTCCGCGTTGGCCCGGCCTCTGGCTGCTTGAAGGAGGAGCCAAGGCTGTGGGGCCCACCGAAAGGCGGGGGAGCCCCCGACTCAAAGGGTGCAGCCGACCCCAGTCGCGGGAGGAGGAGTAGGGATTGTTGCCCTAACCACGGTGATTGATGGAGACTCCCTTTGCCCAGGGTTTATATGCCCAGGGCTAGAGACCACCAAAGGCAGAGGACATCAGGGTGGTCCTTAGCGGGCATAAGGCTGAGGGGAACTAGGGTTTGTGGGTGCAGGGGCCAGCCCCATGGCTCGTTTGGGGAGCAGGGCTGTGCCTGTGGGGGTTTGTTCTTCTCCAGGTGGGACCCTCAGCCCCGGGTATCCCCCATCCCGGGGGCACCTGCCTTCACACAGCTCTCAGCAGGAGGTGTCCCACTCCAGGACCCCACTGTGGCCCCCTGGCCACGGGGCAGCACTTGGTGGGGCAGAGCTCCCAGAGCCACGGAGAGCTGAGAGAACAGGAGACAGTATCCGGGACCCCAGACTGGGGACAGTTAGGTGGCACAGAGGGGTCATTCAGTGCCTGATTGGTGACAGCATAGGCCTTTTCTGCTCTGTGGCTGCAGCCTGAACAATGCTACTGTCCCCAATCTCCCACAGCCCCAGGATGGGGACAGCATCCTCCTGAGCTCCCCAGCTGCCCAATCTGCCCCTGAGCAGGCAGGGGAGTTAGAAACGACACTCCAGCTGCTGCTGCATTGGCCAAGAGACTTTCCTACTTGCATTGACGATAGGCAGGGTTTGTCAAGGTTCAGCAGGGAGGAAAGAGGAGAATGTGGCCAAAGGGACAGGAGTCCTGCAATGTGTGGCCTCTGCAGCTGTCCCCCCTGCAAGCAGCATTCTCCAGCAGCCCAGCCCAGCCCCGGCAGCCGCTGGGGATGAGGTAGGCATCCGGTGTAGCTCCATCTGGCATAAAGGAACACACAGGTCAGGCCAAAATAGAAAGAGGAGGAAGCACAGCTTCTTTTTTCCACTTCTTGCTGCCAGGTGGATGGGCAGTGCTGAGCACCTGGCATGGAGTGAAGTGGGCTGCCTCCCTGCCCAGCACGGGAGGGGCATTGAAACGGAGGTGTGAGTGCTGCCCGCTGTCAGAGCCGGCGGAGGAGGTGGCAGGATGCGGTGTCCTGGTTCCCAGGAGCAGCCCAGTCCCTGCCACAGCTTGCCGGTGGCTCGTGGTGTCGGGATGCTACACGTGGAGCCAGGAGCGTGGGGACCGCAGGTGTGAACCGGGTTTTGCATTGCAAGAGTCCCGCCAGCCCCACAGCATCCCAATTCTCTGTGGGAGACCTCCCAGTGCTGGACCCCATTTCCCAGTTAGGTCACCTGTGGGTGACTTTTGCATCCCCTTGTGCCCCACGCTGGAAGGGTGGACAGGTCCCCTCCCAACCGCGCTTCCCAGAGGCTGCTCTCACCACCTGCTCCGGGGCAGAGCGGTACCCGGGGTGTGCCGCTGCCAGCATCGCCGGTGCCCCAGATCTGTCCAGGGCCGGAAAGAGCGATCTCAGCTTCTGAAGTTCCCAAACTTCAGGTGAGAGAGGTGGAAAGACTTTGAACGAATTCAATGGGAAATTTCCAATCTGCTGTAATCCCAGGGTAGCGCTGACGGAGCCATCGAGATGGCGAGGGAAGTGACCGTGACAGGCTAGGAACCCCCGAGGGCCGGACGCTGCCTGGGGGGACACGGCGGTGCGGTGCTGCCCCGGCAGGGCCCTACAGGGCTTGCGGGGGGAGGGGGCTGAGGCTGGAGAATGTCGCATTTGGGAGGCAGGCGCTTTTTGGAGAGCGCCTAGGAAAGCCCCGCTATTCCTAAAAGCAAAAAGGAAGGAATTGCAAGGTAAAGTATAAGTATTATTATTAACTTACTAATTGCCCAAATAATTGGAGAATTACAGGAGAAAAGGGAAACAATAGGAAAAGACCCGCGGTTTTTGGTGCAGCCCCCCAGCACCTGTTGCGTCCTACCGCTGGCCTTCCCTGACAATGGGGGACGTGCCCTCGGGGGGATGTCACCGAGAAACGGGAGATAAACTCTCCAACCTGTTAAAAAGCCGACATCACAGGTGGCCAAGGACCCCCCAGCCTGGAGCCACTAGTCCAGTGGTCTCCGCTCCAGGAGAAACGCGGCATGGAGAAAGGAGGGGGCGGCTTATATGCCCAGCAGAGCTGCAGGGGCATCTTTTCCCCAGGGCTGCCAGTTGACTAGGAGTGACAGCAGAACTCATTCTTCTCTCCATTCTGAGTCGGGGCGAGGAAGTGTGGAGGAACCCGGCGGGGTGTCGGAGACCCCCGCGCGACCACCATGGCGCAGGGATGGGGGTCCTATCCAGCCAAACCACAGCCCACCAGCCACTCCGGTGGAGGCTCAGCGAGGACCCCCCCGCTCCTCCCCAGCGGGGCGGGTGCCGGGAGGAAGGAGGAGGGCCCCCCCCGCGTCGTTGCCCTTTTAAGGGGTTCCTTGAAACCGCGCCCGGGATCCATGTTTGCAGCCCCAGCCCGGGCGGAGGAAACTCCATGTTGTAACAAAGTTTCCTCCGCGGCGCCGCTCCCGCGCCCGCCGCCCCGCGCCGCCGCCGGCCCCCGCCCCGCCTCCCCACGGGAGCCGCGCCGGGGGCCGCCCCTCCCACCCTCTCCCCGGCGCCCATGGAGCACCAGTCCATCATCGCCCAGGTTAGCAGGGAGGAGGGAGCGCCCCACTGCAGGAGAAAGGTAACGCGGGGGATTCCCCCACTCCAGCATGGAAGAGGGAAGGGGAAGTCCCCGGCGGGGGAGGGGACTGGGGGCCTGCGGGGGCTGCTCCCGGAGGGTGTGATGAGCTGCGGGCCGCCTCAGCCCGCCCCCGTGCATCCCGCTGCCCAGAGCTGGGGAGATGCGCTGGGGCTGCGGCTCAGAGCCAGCGGGGCTGTCTGCACCCGCCTGGGGGCGAGGGGCCGTGCTCCGGCTCCTCCGGCCTCCCCAAATCCCCAGGGTGCCCCTGGAAGGCTCGGGGCGCTGCTCGGAGCGTCTGCGCTGTTTCCCCCCGGGGCCGGGCGGGCGGTGCGCGCAGCGCCCGTGGGAAACTGAGGCAGGCAGGGAGCCGAGTGCTGGGCACTCCCGCTGCGTCCCGGCGCCTCATCCCCCTCGGCCCCGCGGAGGGGTCTGGCGGGGAGCGCTGCCCGTCCCGCTGCCCGCCGGCCTGGGGAGCTTCCAGGGCGGGGAGGAGCGAAAGTGAGAACAAGCCCCGTCCACAGTGGGGAGCTCCCGCCCCGCGGGGTCCCGGCCGGGCTGCGGCAGGACCCGGTGGGCCGGGGCCGGGGCAGCCGCGCTGCCCCCGGGGCAGGCGGAGCGGCCCCCGTGCCTCAGTTTCCCCGCGATCCGCCAATGGGGACCGCGGGAACGGCGCCCCGGGGCGGGCGCTGCGCCCGGATTGGCTCCTCGCCTCGGCTCCGCTCGAGGCGGCCAATGGGAACAGGGAGTTGTCTGGGGGCGGGACAAAGGAGAACCGTAAGCCCCGCCCCCGGAGGAGGCCCCGCCCCTATGTCCCTCCGGCCGGGGGTCTGTGGGACCTTGGGGACCTCCGGGCTGAGCCCCTGCTGCAGGTGTAGGGTCTCCAGCCACGCAGGGAGGGCTCACAGGGGGCACTCATGGAGTGGGTGAGGGGCTGTGAGTGGTCACCAAACATTGTGGTGGTCGCCAAACTTTGGCGTCCCTGGTGCTGTCCTGGCGCCACTGCTTGGTGGGGCGGGAAGGGCAGCTGGATGAGTGCCAGGGGCTGATAAGGACGCGGGGGGGTCCAGGGCAACACCCAAACCTGTCTCACCTGCCTCCCCACCCCGTGCTGGGGGTACCCCTGGGGTGCTTCTCACCCCTCTCCCGCCCTCCTGCAGGTACCCAGACACCTGCCAAAAAACCACGGAGTCGCAGCATCCTCCAGTCCCTCTTCTGCTGCCTGTGCCACGATGAAGGGGAGCCCTGCACCGGCACCACTGGTGCCCCACTGCTGGTGGAGGAGAATGGGGCCCTGCCTAAGGTAACCCTGCACCCCCAGCCTAGCACTGGGCTGCCCATCCCCTGTGCCTCCCCTGTGCAGCCAGGATAGCGGCGTGGTCACTTCCCGTGCCCACCCCCTTGCCCCTCCACTGACCCTCTGTGCCCCCCTGGTGCAGGCTGCTGTCAAACACCTCCTGCCTGAGATCAAGCCGCAGGACGCCAGCAAGCTCTGCGTGGTCATCGACCTGGATGAGACACTGGTGCACAGCTCCTTCAAGGTGGGGGACACCCTGTCCCACTCACATCTCCTGCCCTGTACCCCCCTGCCTCTTCTACCACCCTCTTCACCACAAAGTGATGCCCAGCACAGCCTGGTTGGGATAGATGGGGTGTCCCTCTAAGGGGGTTGTAGGGCTGGTAGGGATTCGTGATGGGCATAGGGCAGGCAGCATTTGGGCAGGTGGTGCCTGCCCAGCGCTGACCCTGCTGTGCCCTTCCCCAGCCGGTGAACAATGCCGACTTCATCATTCCTGTGGAAATCGATGGCATCATGCACCAGGTAATGGTGGGGTGGGTGCCTAGTGGGAGGGGGCATCATTCCCCCTCCCTGGGGACTAAGAGCCATCCCAGTGTCCTGCACTGAGGCGTAATTGGGGTGTCAGGGTGCTAGCACTGGCACCTTGGGGGGCAGAGGCAAGTACCCCTCTTCCCACAGGGCAGGGAGGCGAGGGGGGTGCTGGCGCAATGCTCTCCTGCAGTGGCCAGCCCCGGGTTCAAGTAATCCAGGATAGGCTGTGATCTGGGCAGTCAGCCTGTTCTCGGTTACTTGGCTCTGGAGCCGGCCAGATGCTTCACCTCAGACATCCCTGTGGGGCCACAGCATCCCCCAGCCCACACAGGGCAGCCCCCACTGCATGAGGTGCACGCAGCCCTCTTGCTCCCCTTCCTCATCAGGGAGCCACTCGTGGGTGTCCCCTGGGGTGGGTGGTGGTGCTGAGAGGGGCCGGGTGGCCGGTGCCGGAGGCGCTGCCCTCTGCCCCGTGCCCACAGGTGTACGTGCTCAAGCGGCCACACGTGGACGAGTTCCTGCAGCGCATGGGCGAGCTCTTCGAGTGTGTGCTCTTCACTGCCAGCCTGGCCAAGGTGGGTGCCCCTGCCATCACACCCCCTTCCCACACACCCCTTGGGTGGCACAGCTCCCCTTGCCTGCAAGGCATTGCCAGCCCCTTGTCCCCTGCATGCCTGCAGGCAGCGCCAGCTTGGGGCAGTCTCCCTGCCTGCCTCTCCAAGGCGGTGGCCAGGGAAACTGAGGCACGGCGGGACCTGACACCATTGGAGAGCTGGATGTTGTTGTCACTGTGGGGTGGGCAGGGTGGCGTGGTGTGGCCCAGTGTGACACCTGTCTCACGCCTGTAGTACGCAGACCCCGTGGCTGACCTGCTGGATAAATGGGGGGCTTTCCGGGCACGGCTTTTCCGTGAATCCTGTGTCTTCCATCGTGGCAACTACGTGAAGGACCTGAGCCGCCTGGGCCGTGACCTGCGCCGGATCATCATCGTGGACAACTCACCCGCATCCTACATCTTCCACCCTGATAACGCTGTATGTACCCCCAGGGTAACGCCAGGTGTGGCACAGAGGGGAGGTGCCAGGGGACCCTCTCTCAGTCCGCTGTGCCACCTGCAGGTGCCGGTGGCTTCCTGGTTTGATAACATGGCAGACACGGAGCTGCTGGACCTGCTGCCCTTCTTCGAGAGGCTCAGCAAGGTGGAGGACGTGTACGCAGTGCTCAAGAAGCAGCGGACTAACAGCTAATGGTCCCCCCACCCCGCCGGGTGCTGCCAGGGGGCACCACCGGGGGAGCCAGGTGCCTTATTTTGGGGGAGAGGGGGGTCCTAGTGTGCCCCCTATTGTCCTCCCCAGCCCCAGTGGGCCCAGGTGACCTCCCTGCCTGCTGGTGATGGGAGATGTGGGTGCCCCTGCTGGGGAGCTGAGTGTCCCCCTTCTCACAGAAAAGGAGGGCTGTGGGTGACCTGCCTTGCTGTGCTGAGGACCTGTTAGGGGGGTCCCATCCTCCCACAATGTCCAGCCCCTACCCTCCCCCAACCTGTGTCCCCCCTCCCCAAAACGGTTCTCAGGTCCTTTTCCCTTCCATGTCCCCCTGAGTGGGGAGGGGGGGATCAGCAGCTGCTGTTTTCCACTGCCTTTGGGGGGACTAGATCCCTCTATCCAGGCGCTTCCTGCTGGGAGCCTGGTGGCCTTTGGCCCCTATCTGCAGGGGTTATGGGACAGTTTGTAACACCTTGTCACCCTCCAGAAATGGGGGAGTCTTAGTGTTGGTGCATAGGGCTACCACCATACCCTTAACTCTGCCCTGCGTGCAGCTGATCACCTCATGGGGGGCGTGTCCTTGCCCACCCTCGTGCCTTCTCCTGCCCCCCCACATAGGGGGTGTGTTTTGGGGAGGCAGCCTGGCCTCAGGGTTGAGCCGCTGGGCACAAATGCCCCCCATGTGCCTTGGAACACTGTGTCTCTGTGGCCCCCTTAGCTCTGCAAGGGCTGTGCCTGGGGGGGCTCTTAACTCCCCTCCTCCAACCTCAGTTTCTTCCCTTGCTGTTGGGGCCTCCCCCCATCTGCAGTTACACTGTGTCAGTGGGAGCCACTCCGGTCACCAGCGGGGGGGTCACCTCCCCTGTGGGGGGCACACACTCCTCCCCATCCATTTGCAGCTTCGCCAAAGGCTGCCACTCCTAGGAGGGACGGACCCCCATACCAGCCTTAGTGTGCCCACCCTAGCCTTGCCCCAGTCCCCCAGCTGGGATAGGGGTGGGGGGCACTGCAGCCCCCCACCTTCCCCATAGCCGGGGGTTACCCTGACCCCAGTGGGGTTGGACTGGTGCCAGGGTGTCCCCCAGCCTTGAGGGGCTGGGGGCTCTCAGGGAGGGGTTTTAGGAGGGGGCTGAGCTCAACCCAGCCTTTTTTAACGTCACAATATGGACAATGCCTCATACTTTTTTAGAGGGGAAAACAACGGTTTCCCAAAAAATCATGGGTGCCTTTTTACCGCTGTGCCAGCAAAGGGAATGGGACAGTATTTGGGGGGAGGGGTTTTAGCTTTCCGGTGCTGTTCAGCTGGCTCCTGCTGGCACTGCCCTTATCCTGGTGCTGGGGGCAAGCGGGGGTCCCCCCAGCCCCGCCCACACCCCTGCCTCGACCCCTGCCTCGACCCCTGCCCCGTGGCCGGGGGTGGGGTAGGGGGTGGTGCAGCGCACCCGCTGGATCCCCACCAGCCCCGGGCCTCATCCCGCCCCTCCAGGAGGGTTGAACTCAGCACTTTACACTAGACAAGTCAAACGGCACCAGCGCAGCCGCTGCCCAGCAAATACCTGTGGGTGCTGCAGCACCCAAGGAGCACAGCCTCTGTGCTGGGCACCCTTGGGGGGGTCCGGGGAGGTGCAGAGGCGGCATGGGGGGGCTGGGGAGGGCTCGGGTACCAGATCCAAGTGCCTTCATGTGATTAAAGCTGTCAAACCATCTTGGAAAGGGGAGTCCTGTGCGTGTACATGTGTGGGCATGGGCTCCTGTCATGTGTGTGTCACTAGTGGCTGTGCAAAGTGGGAGGACAGGGAGCCTCTGGGATCCCCTAAATCCCCTGGGAAGGGGGGATGTAGGTCAGTGCTGGGGGAGCACCTTTGCGTTGCCAGGTTGAGATGTCACTCCTTGCCTGGTGCCAAGGGGACACCCTCACGTTCCAGGGCAGCCCCCTCAGGCTGCCCTGGCACCTCCATCCTAATTCCTTCCCCCTCCTCCTGGGAAAAGGTCCCTGGTGCCATGGGGTTGGGTATCCTGTCCCTTAACAAGGAGGGGGTAAATTTACCATGGAATCTGTACACCCCCCCTCCCCAGCTTTGGGGCTTCAGTTTACTCCATGTATCCAGCCTTATTTGACTGGAGAGCCCTTGGGGGAGACTTGTGATGCCCCCCCCTGCTCCCCAGGCAGCCTGCTGCCAACATACAGGCACTGGGTTGCTGGGGGAGAGGTGGGGGTCTCTTAGCTGCCCGCCCCCCCATGCCCTCATTGGCCCTGTGCCTCCCCTCATTAACGAAGTCTCTGTCCTCCCTGATGGCTGCACTAATTACTGAGTTCATTAGTGACCCGGCTGGGAGGCCCCGGAGAGGGGATGGGCCTGCTGGGGCTGGCGTGGGGTCTCCCACCCCTGTGCCACACCGACGGACTCGGCCCTGGGACACGGCCACCGAGTGGAGACCGACCACCCCGGTGTTACACCCCACCCAAAAGTCAGGCCCTCACCCCCACCGGGGGTTCTGAACCCAGGTAAGGGTCCCATGGGGACTGGGTGGCATGGTTAGGAGGGTTGGGGGGCCAGGGGAGTGGAGGGCAAGAGCAGAGCCCATCCCTGTGCTATTGGGGCTCCCCCTTGTTTGTGGCTGACCTGCCCCCTGTGCCAGTTCAGCCCATTGTCATCACTTTGGGGATCCTTGGAAGGGGGACCGTCAGGATTTGGGGCTCACAGCAGCCCAGGGCTGGTGCTGGGATGACAGCAGGGTGCAGGATGCCCCTGGCACTTGTGGCCAGGGGTGCTGGCTCAGCAGGGCAGCTGAGATAAAGCCGCGGCAATCCCGCAGGGCTGGGGAAGAGATAAGAGCAGACAGGAAGCCTGGGGACCTGCCTGCTGCTGGTGCCTCGCCCTTCACCTTTATGGTACCCCCTGTTCATTCCCCAAAACCACCTTCGGGTCTAGGAGCTACTGGGCAGGACTTCAGTCTCCTCCCTGCCAACATCAAGGGCATCATCAGGTACCAACCTTTGGGACCGAGGCATGGAGGCAGGGGACAGATCATAGGGCTTAGCTGTGCCACCACCCTATGCTCTGTCCTGTCCCTCCAAACCCTAGATCTGTGTCCCATCCCTGTACCTCCTTCCCATCCCCAAGGGGACCTTGGGTCTGTGGAGACCTCCCAGTGCGAGGAGGCAAAGCTGGGAGTGAGCAGGGATCTGGCCTCCAGCTGAGGTGTGGCATGGCCTTGAGACAGTCCCATGGGCAGGGTACTGATGTGCCCAGGTAGGGAGTGAAAAGGGGATGCTCCAGGAAGATGGTGCTGCATTGGTATCACTTTGGGGAACGTTTTTGGAAGGGAGAAGGCACCAAAAAAACCCCATTGCCATGCTTGTAGTGCTCCATGGCCAAGAGGTTTTTTTGGGGGATTTTGCGGTCTGGGGAGTGAAGAACAGTGGTAAAGCACATCCCCGAGGCATCAGGGCACCTCTGTGTTTGTGGCTGATGCTCATGTGTCCTGGTCCAGCCCCTTGCTATCACTGGGGAACTTTTTGGTGAGGGGCAAAAAAAAAGTCACCATGGGCTCAATGCCAAGGGCCAAAAGAGGAACAGGCTTAGGGAGGCACCAGCATAGGCACAGCAAACCCTTGGACAGGGTGCAGTAGCACCTTGGGGGGCAACACCCTATGAGTAACGGGGCTCTCAGGTGCCACAAAGTCTTGGAGGGCCATGGGGACCTTGACTCTGGGCTGTTCCTGCCCTTATATGGCAAATATAGGCTGGGCCATGAAGGAACAAAGGTCTCCTGGGTGCTGGCACCTGAGCACTCCACCTAGGTAGGTTCACCTGTGCCCAGCTCTGTGGTGAAGGTGAGGAGCTGGGGTGGGGTGAGGGGACGGAGGGTGGGCATGGGGTGGACAGCACATCCCATGGCCACCATTACTCCTGGCACTGGGGTGGCCTGGGCATGGGGCTTGGGGACCCACCCATGCCCCACCTTGGCGCTGCACTTGGGGGGATACTAACCCCTGGATCTGAGGGATGGGATGCGGGTGTTTATAGGGCAACACCAGCAGCTCTCCCTGCCAGCCACCAGCCAGGGCACAGCAGGGCCTTTGCCTGACAGGCTGTCTGGCCCCTCTGCCCACTTGCGGAGAGCACTGCCAGCCTGGCAGAGATGGCTGTGGGCAACCTCGGCAGCACCAGGGCCGAGCCCTGGCAGTCTCAGCACCTCTATGGGGCAAGGATGTGCCCTCCCTGGGGGGGCATGGATCCGGTGGGGGGTTTGGAAGTGGGGGGTCTGAAGCAGGCAGTGTGCTTGCACACTGTGCACGTGTGTGTGTGTAAGGGCACTAGCAGTGGCCATGTCGTGCTGTGCCACTTTGTGCCAAGCCATGCCAGGACAAGGCTGAGCAGGGCTGGTTCCTGCTGGTCGTGGGGAGGAACAGGCCACTGCACAGCGGTGTCACCCAGCTGCAGCCGCTGCGCTGTGGGTGCCCTGCACAGCCCTGTCCCTCGCTTGGGTGCAGGGCAGGGCACTGGGGCACTTATGCTCCTGTCCACCCTGGACCCTGGCATGGAGCTGTGGCTGCAGTGCCAGCTCAGCTGAGGGGATAGCAGCCCTGTTTGTGTGCCCACAGCCCTGACACTTCAGTGCCAGGGTTTCCCTCATCCTGTGTAGCTCCGGCTGGGTTGTCTGCAGAGTGGGCAGGGAAGCAGATGGCACAGCAGGCTGGCTGTGTCCCAGCTCTTGATGACACTGCCTGCCATTAACAAGGGTGTTACTGATGCTGGCAGGTCCCCTTGTCTGTGGTACCTGTCACCATGGTGGAGCTCAGCGGCAAAGTCACCAGGACGCTCAACAAGACCACGCCGGGCATCCAGATATGGCGAATCGAGGTGGGGACGGGGGCACAGCCTGGGCACCCATCACTGGGCTGCTTGGGGGAGTCTCTGTGAGGGAAGATCCTCCCTTTGTGTACTCAGTGCCTCTTTTTGGGGGTCTCAGTGCAGCATCCAGAGCTAAACTCCCCGAGGTTCTGGGCCTGGGGGCAGTGGGGTGCATGGGGGTGGGGTGGGGGATTTCCCACCAGGGCTGATGTCTCCCTTTCTTCTGCAGAACATGGAGATGGTGCCAGTGCCCACCAAAAGCTACGGCAACTTCTATGAGGGGGATTGCTACGTTCTGCTGTCGGTAGGGCAGTCAGGGGCCACACGGGGAACTGGGAATGGGCTCTGCCCTGGGGGGACTGGGGTGCAGGGAGGAGTGTCTGTGGCCAAGAATGGCCTGGGGACACAGGGGCTCTTCTAGTGGGGACTGGTGTCCTGCAGACACGCAAGTCTGGGAGTGGCTTCACCTACGACATCCACTACTGGCTGGGCAAGGAGTCGAGCCAGGATGAGCAGGGGGCAGCTGCCATCTACACCACCCAGATGGATGATCACCTGGGCTCAGTGGCCGTGCAGCACCGCGAGGTCCAGGGACACGAGAGCGAGACCTTCCGTGCCTACTTCAAGCAGGGACTTGTGTATGTCACTCATCCCCAGGGACCCAATCCCGCAGTGGGTGGCAGCGGGGAGGGGTCCTCTGCATGTGCCTTGTGGGGACACCCTCAGTGGGGATGGGAACAGCCCTGTCCCAGTGGGATGTGAAAGGTAGGAGGAGGATCTGGAGCTGGTCATGTTCCAGCCATTGCCCATGTGGGTGGGAAGGGGACCCCACTGGAGTGAGGAGGGGGCACCCAGGGCTGACACTATGTCTGTACTCACCCCAGCTATAAGAAGGGTGGAGTGGCCTCAGGCATGAAGCACGTGGAGACAAATACCTACAACATCCAGCGCCTTCTGCATGTGAAGGGCAAGAAGAATGTGACAGCGGGAGAGGTGAGTTATGGGATGTGGGGAGTCCCCAGCCATCAGCCTCTGTGCAGACATGATGTTTGGGATCAGGATCAGGCCAGAGCTTCCCCTGACACAGCTGCCCTCAGGCTGGAGACAAAAGTGGGTGCAGGATGATGCTGCCTTGCCTCAGGAGCAGCCGCACCTCAAAAAGCCTCTCTAGAGGTAGGGAGGAGGAATATAGGCTGGGGGTATCAGCACTGAGTGAGGGCAGGCAGGGGCTGTAAAGCTGTGGATACCCAGGTATCGTGCTGCTTGACACCCACTCCTCCCAATCTCATCCTGCTGCAGGTGGAGATGAACTGGAAAAGCTTCAACCGGGGCGACGTGTTCCTGTTGGACCTGGGGCAGCTCATCATCCAGTGGAAC